TGTCTACAAATAAATCTTGTTTCTTTGTGGTAAGTATAGTGTGCATCTGATACACACTGTGCTGTTGCGCAGGAGATAGATATACTGAATTACCATTTCCCCATAAGCAAGTAATGTAGGTTTCCCAGAATCCCAACAAAAGGGGTCTTTAGGAAATAGTTCAATTTAAAAATCAGTATTAGAGCCTTTCATGTAGGTGAGCATCTCATGCTCCTTAATAAAACACTGTGTGCTTGGTTGCTAAAGTCATGCTAATTTGTCTGTAACCCAAATATTTACTCTTCTAAAAATTGCTCAGAAGTTTATCATTAATGCCTTAAAAAGAAGAAAACTTACTGACTGGTGTGAGGAGCAAGTCCCAGGAAGGTACTTACCTAGATTTTTTAAGATCTTTATCATGCTGCATGTCACACTGTTTTAACAAAAGGGGCTTCTTAATTAGGTAACAGTGGGACTATTGATTCCTTTTAAAGGGACTGGCAGGAAGAAAAATATAAAATGTTACAACAGTGATGCCAACTGCTATCTAGAGACAAGGATGTTTAACTGAAGAAGGCTTTCTTTTTAATAACTGCATTATTGAAATACAGTTGCTTAGGCTGCATTAGATGTTAAGTTTTAGAACAGAAAGTTGTGGTTAAGATGCTTTCTGCCAGATTTATGTACAGGGCAACTACAAGACAAGCTTCAAAGATCTAATTTTTTTGCTAGGAAACATTAATTTTGCAATTAATGGCAGCAAAACTTGAGGGTACTTTTTTTCTGTTCTACTAGCAGTGTCCATAGAGCTCATTGCCTGCTTAGTTCTTGGACCTTGACGTGGTGATATAGAAGGTAGTAGTAAATTCACACCATACTAAAATAATGTTTGGCAAAGCTCTTCTCTTCTGTAAGATAGGAATAATCTTTTGTTTTCTATTGGATGCACATGAAAGGCTCTGTAACTTTTCAACAATTCCCTAAAATATTTGTACTTGGTGGGAGGTTTTATTTCTGAGTTTAAAGACTTTATTTCTAGAACTACTAAATTGCATTCTAACCTTTAAATGAGCGTAGTGGATATATGTTTGATCCATGAACACACAAGGAAAAGCTCTTCAGCCTTTGTTAATGTAGGCCCTCCTCATTAACTGCCCTGCCCTGTTCTTAAGGGGACATTCCATTTGGCATCCTGAAGTAGATATCACCATACTCCATTTCTAATTTTGTCATAGAATCACTGTAAACATGGACAGGTGGTAAATTTTTCTTACTATATCCTCCTCATCTTCAAATGAATCATGAGATATTCCAGCCAAACATATCTTTCCAAAGAAAAAGTAGTAGTGATGGAGCTTGGAACAACATCTGATGTCCAGAAGAGATTTCCAGCAAAACTATCCTGTTTGTGTAACTGTCAAGCAGCATTACTATGATATTATTATTTTGGCCACTAACATTTTTATAGCCTATAGGGCTCTGAAAAATATTTGGAAGAACTGGTGACACTTGAGCTCCTGACCACTTGGCTCTGGGTATATTTGCCTTATTTGGATGTATTTGGGAGGGAGAGTGGATCTTGTTTAGCTTCTGCTAAGGATTCTACTAGAAATGCATAGGTACCATGGACATGCTAGAAATGTATCTTTCAAAAATATTTTTGTTGTAGATTGTACAATTGCCTGATAACATCAAGCTTTACTTTCCTATTTTCAGTCCTTGAAACATCACCATTATTTGTTGCTTAGTCTCTTCCAGATTGCCCAAAGCACTGTTACTTCATAAACATGGGCTCAGCAAAATCAGGTTTAGCAGGAGCCTTGGTCAGTAAAATCCCATTTAGCCATCCAAAGTGTGTGCCTGGCATAATAGAGATTCTTCGACATCAAGTGGCATATAACACTCTTATCAGCAGCTGTGTCTCTGAGAAGCATATAAATGAAGGTAAATTGTGTGGCTGGAAGTGATGGCACAGTATTAGAGACAAACTAGTTTCTAAATTGGGTGTTGACAGATTTTACAACTCCCTTGCCAAAACTGTCATTACTTGTGGAGTACTGTAAATGATAAAAAATTCTTAACACTGTATTGATTTTTTAAAAAAAAATTCTATGCTCATTCTATGTACATAAGCTAAGTCATCGAAGTAATGAAAAATTAGACTACTGTATCAGTATTTTTAAAATTCTGGCATGTAATTCAGCCAAAAAGAACCCAGCTTCAATGGTGGATATCACTAAACAGTATATATATATATAAGTATTTTTATTTCTAGATGATTCAGAACTGCTTTACTTTGAAGTGGTACCACACAAGAACACCAGCTTTTCTGTCTTTTTCCTTCATCCTGTGAAAGAGAATTTAGCCTGTGGTATGTGTGGAATAACTGCTACTGTTCTCTCTACTGAGCTGACAGGGGACTTGATTCTATCTAGGCTCCTGCACTATGTTTCTCAGTTACAAACAGTCTAAGGGCCACTCAACAGTGTGCAGCCCAGGAAAAACACGAAGTGTATGCACTTGTATATAAACTGCTTACTAGAAGGTGTTCTGTACTCAGAATAATACAGAAACTAAATGCAAATATTAAAGTCCTGTTTTGTCTTGGCCTACATTTAATTAATAAATTGTAACTTCCACTATTTCTGATTTAAGTATATTAAGGAAAAACAAGTCATACAAATATATTGCTGCAAACCTCTTTCCACTGACTTGTCTTGCATCTCTTCAAGCATCAAAATGAAAGGATGGTTTTCAATGTTTCTAAGTATTTCAAAACAAAGATTTTTCTGTTCTGTTCCTTCTTAGTGGTAATTGATGTTATAACCTCCAGAGAAGTCCAATGTCACCTTCATTTAAATCCTCAAGATCCAACTCTAAGTTCTACTGATGACTTCATAGCAACAGCTGTGAAACGGTAAGTACTTTTATTTCATAACAGATGTCCATTAAATGGAAATATCATGTGCACTCATAATGTCATGAACTCAGCAACTGGAAAACTTCACTCTAGTACTGTAATACAATAATGGGAATAAGTTACTTCAATATCTTAAGTATCTCTTTCAAAAATTTTAAACATTAACAGTGATGAAGTGTTTCTAGTAGAAAGCATATGGAAGCAAATAAAGACTATTGACTGAAGAGTTTTACATTTTATAAAGATGCTTTTCTGAAGACTCTAGCTGATGACAGTCTCATGTCTAGCATAACTTCGAATAGCATGGAAAGGTCTTTTTACACATCTACCTAATAGCAATCAGTACTTCTCTTCAGAAAGTGAGTTGTATATGGCATGTCTACAATACTGACTCTGGCTTGTTTTCTGAACAAATTCCAAGACAGCGAGTTGTTGTGATACATGAACATAGGCTAGACAAACTGATTCAGAACATAGTCTAAGAGCACTAAGTGATTTGGCACAAGCTAGTACACAACTATCATGTGTTTGATGACCACAAAACCAATGCAGGTTGGATTTTGAACCTGATTTTAAACAAGGTAATATTTCTGGAACCAGGTTATGAGTGGGAAAAAAATCTCCTCCAGTATAAACAGTGTTTTAGAAAAGATACCTTCTGTACCTGTGTTACACAAAACATGAAGGTTACAATCATAAAACTCAAGAAGAATGAATATATTTCAATGTTCTTAGTTTTGGTTTTCATTAGAAGCACCCTTATGACTTTTTTTTTTGTTGACCAGACTGAAAGGCCTCCTACTTTTTCAGTCAAAGCTTCTGTGCACACCTAACTTCAAAGACTCAGCACTAAATTTTAGTATGTTAACATATATTTCTGGTACAGCACATGTAGTTTATATTATGGCTACAAAGTAACACCAGGTTGTATGAGACAAAAACAGAAAGGAGGTAGATAAAAACAGAAAGGAGGTAATGCTGGTTTTCATTCCGTTGTCAGCTACAGTTTAAAAAACAGAAGTACTTTAAAGAAAGTATGATGTCTGTAGTAGTGACTAATGTGTTATTTCCTTCTTCAGTTGCATGTCAGTCCCAGTTGTCATGAGAGCTGTTTTCAGGAATGCTGCCAAGGTGAAAGCTGACAGTGAAACACAAGACATGGACACAGAACAACAACCTGGACCACAATCGGAGCAAACTACAGATTCTAACAGTCTCAAAGAAAGCCTTTCTGGTGTTGGTCAGCAAGACTGGATAGTGACAGATAAGCCAAATAATACAGAAAGTACAGAAGAAAATCTCCCTACAGCCAAACTGGAAACTCTGGGTGATAACATGGAACCCCCTCTTAGTTATTGATTTCCTTCTCTTCATGCTAATCTGGTCCACATCCTTTATTCCTTCTTTTATATTTTTCTCCAACTTTCCAAGCCTTCATCTCCTCCATATCTTCTGGTTACTCTAATGTTCTTGAATGGCCATAAATTTAGGATCCCAGATGCCCAGTCTTCAAATTCTTTTGGCTTTGTTCACTGAAGATTGTTAGGCTTAGTTTTAACAAACTCAAGGTTTCAGTGATTTAATGATCAAAGTAGGTCTGTGAAAAAACTTAAGTGGTGTTGGCTAACAGTGGGCATTGCTTACAATTAGTTAAAACAACTAATTAAAAATGAATTAGGAAAATTATATATATATTCCAACACTGTCTGCACCATATTCTACCAGAATATGGAAGAAATCTGTGTTTAACATACATGATACAGTCTATAACACAAGACAAGCATTTGAAGAAAAGTAATGTTTATCCATGTCAATATTATGCTAAATAAATTGAAAAAAAGTTACTTGAACAATTTCTGTAGTAATGCAGATGCCCCTCTTTGTCCAATCCATAAATGCATTTAATCAAAGACTCTGAACTGCAGTTCTGATTACCCCTAAAGCAGAAGTGGTACTGAAAGGAAACCAAACTTAGAGTCTGTCAACTCTGACAGTGTAACAGAGTCTTTAGTAAAAATGTTGTATAAAACTCAGGCTCTGAAAACCAAGGAATTTTTGCCTTAGATTTTTTCTTGCCTCTAAGTATGAAATGGCTTTGTGATTTTTTTTTTTTTAATTATAGTTTACTGTTCAAAATCTTACTCTGCCTATGTCTGGAATATTCCTTTGTCTCCAGTAAGAATTGAGTTACAGGAAACTTCCAACAAGTAAGTTGGGAACTTACTATAAATCAGTTTAATTAATGTAAAATAGAGGCATTCACAAAGAAAAAACTTTCTGAACAGAGCAATTTACAGCTACAGTGAAGGGAAGCAAAGAGAAAGCAAGTCAAATACAGAATAGTTACAGAAATACAAAATAATCAGAAATAGGCATGAGTGGCTGATGTGTTTCTAAGAGGTACTGAATAAGCTTAGCTTCCTTGAAGAGTTTGAGAAAAACATTATTGGAATGTGGGAGAGTTCAGGCTAGATGGACTGACAAAATAAATACAAAAATAATGAAAGGATGTTCATTAGACTGGAAGCATGTTTAGTGTGGTCTGACATGATAAGAGCAGATGTCTAAAAGTAAAACAATGAATTGTCAGCAATTCTGTGTTTGAGGAAAATAGTGAGTTTTCAGCAAAAGTGACAAATATAACTATATAAGGAGGGAAAAACAGTTTTTAACTGTGAAAGTGCATTGCATCATGGGTAGAAAAGAGAACACATAGAATTTGACAAAAAGTGACTAGAGAGTCACAGCACTAGGAATCAGCAGCATATCATGTTCTGTTTTGCACACAGCATATCATCAACAGCAGCTTATTCTGCAAAAACATGGACCATTTCCATAGCACTGAGCATTTACTCTTTTGATATTGCAGGGGACCAATTTAGAGGAGCTATTTAATGGACCCACTTCATTTCCAAGCTGCTGCCAAGACAAAAATGAGGGTGAAATGGGACCTCCCGACACAAAACAGAAACATGTTTAGTAACTCCTTGTAAAGCTTTAAAGTCAGTGCCCCTTTCTGTGAATGTTACCTTTAAAGTTGAAAGTGAAGGGTTTTGCCCAGAGCCAAAATCATGGCAAGGATTTACAAAAATTACTTCTACTGTAAAACATCAAAATTAGATTTTCCTAAAGCAAAAGTGATGCATCAGCCTGTACATGGCCCACAAACTAAGAATCAAAATCAGCTGTGATAGTTTGAAGTACGATGAGACACGAAAACTAATTTTCCAGTTGCTGGACATGATGGAGTACATCCAGTGATAAGCCCAGTTGCTCTACTAACCAAACAGTCTGCATTTTAACCCAAGTAAGGGCTGACTTTTCAGGATCTGTGCAGAGGTTTGCCTTGCTGCACTCAGACTGCAAGGAACCAACCTCACCATTATTCCTACAAATGTTGTCACTGGAGCTGCCACAGTTGTCGTGTTTTCCATCTTCAACTTCCCTGTACTCTGTCCCAGCTGTGTGATTAAGGTCCATGTCCTGAACTGAGTCTAAAATATGTCCAAGATGTGGCTGTTCTTCAGTAGAATTCAGGTACTTAAGCACATCATCTTCATGCTTTCCAACTACATCAAGAAGATTATTTATCGTACTTAGAGCAGAATTATGTCCATTAAAATGACACCAGGATAAGAGAGCACTGAAAAGTGAACAACAACAAAAGTGATTATATTGATCTACGTAGATCCCCACTTGGTGCAGGTAGAAAGACAGCAATGTGACAAGGTATCTATGTATCATAAATACATTTATGTATAATTTATATTATAATTTCCATAAATAATATAATTATTTATGGAAATTATAATATAAATTATACATATAATTTATATTATAAATTATAATATAAATTATTTATGGAAATTAATAATATAATTATTTATGGAAAAGTCAGGCAGTAGAACTAAATATTAAGCTTAAATATGCAGATTCAGACAATTTTGGAAGAGCAACTGAAAGAGACGTTTTAGAAATTATACTTCTACACCCAGGTGGGCATTCCCTGTTCTCAAGATAGGGGAATTCTCAGGTTGCTAACTTTGGACAGTTTCAAAATGTTTTTTGTTTTGTTGTTGTTGGTTTCTGTTTGTTTGTTTGGGTTTTTTGTTTGTTTTTTTTTTTTTTTTTTAGTTGGTTGGTTTGGTTTTTTAATTAAAACAAACAAAAACTCGTATGTGTGTTCCCCTGTTACACACCCTCCACATACACTTGACCTTAAGGAGTTTGTAACCTACTTCAGGGTTCCTTTGAACTGGCCGCATGTAATCATCAGCTTGGCACCGTGTCTGTAACCTTGATTAAAGCCTGTCTGGAGTGCAAGTTCTTTCCCGGCCTCAATTCCATCCCTATAGCCTTCCTGTAACAAAAGCAGTGAAACAGGCTGCTCAATGTCACAACATGACAAAGTGGACCTCTGACAAATACATGACAATAATAAAAAAAAGTTTAAGTATCACATCTCTTAGGTACGGCTTCTATATCTGTATATCCTTCACAGCTACACCCACTGCCAAACCAAAACATGCTTGTTGCAGTATACTATGATTTACTGATCTGTAAGATGTAGTTTTTTACTTTTCCCAAAAGGATTCACAGAAAGTCAGAAAATAAGGAAACTTCTAAACTTTTTTTAGAAAGATAAAAAAAACCAAAATCGCATGTTTGCTTTTAATGATTACCAACTCCTTTGTGAGAAATGGACTTAGAAGTACCACACAGACTTCTTTTTTTCTATCTAAAAAGATATGCAGGCTGCCAATCTTCCCCTTTATCTTTACTCTTCTATCTGTAATCCATCTACATGGAATCCATTTATTTTCACAAAATTAACTGCTGAGCATTGCTCCCTTATTTGCTGGGCCTCACTCCATTCAAGAGTTATACCAGAAAAAGAGAGTGATTGACTGAGTCACATATAAATACACTTAACATTGGGACTGCTTTCTTTAAGTAAACAGCTAATGACTGTAATGCAAGTTACTTTCTTTATATTATAACAACATTACAAGATTAATAGAATAATTCTTAACTTTTTTTCATATGAAAATTGCAAGCTACAAAAGTGAAAACTCCTATTTGCTCATAGAGGCCTTGCTAGAAAACTAGTCTAGAACACAAAAATTTATTTTGCCCAACATACAACTCTAACTTCAATAACACTTCATGATTTTGCAGTATCTACTCAAAAATACCAGAGGGATTTCTGTAAGAACACTAAACAGTTCCTTAAGAAAACCAGTCTTTTCATGGAACTCAGATGAAGGAAATTACACTGGGTCTGCTGTAATACCATTGCTCACCAACTGCCAACACAACTGTTTCCATCCATGTTCTTCAGCCAAATGCTGCTCAGCTGTGAGCAGAGGACCCCTACTGGCCCCACTCTGAATGACACAGTATCTGTCGAACTCATCTGTTTATGAACTTGTTTTGTTCCCTGCAGAACTGCAGAGACGCAAAGGCTGTGGAAAGCAGCTTTCATAAAATGGATATTTCACTTGGAGAATAAATCAACCAAAGACCTCAGACTCAACCACACACCACAAGGCAAATTGTCGTTGCACATGGAGTCACACATCTTACTGATGAGTAACTCTACTCAAAACCCCAAACGTCTCACATGTCATTATTAGCACTGTTCAGCTCTGTTGCCCTACATTTACTAGGGCTATACCTACAAGTACAAAGCAAGTAGCTTGCATCACAATTCAGCACTGCCTTTTATAAATGCACATGGTCGTGCAGGAGTCAATGCCTTTTGGTAAAACAGTACTTTGCTCTGGTGACTACTAAGTAGTGATTACATCAATTTCTGCCATATTTCCCTGATATTCAGAAGAAAGTAGGCCACAATAACTTTTAAGCCGCTACTTCTCCCTTTAAATCATTCACATGTGCATCAAATTAAATGTCAGTAAATCTAAAATAGCTAAAAATGTATTAAATCCTTTTTATAGAAATACCTTCAATCTCTTTTTCATAGTGCTGTTCCATTCCTTCTGTAGTAGATACATCTCATCTGCATCTTCATCAAATATATCCTCATTGGATTGGCTGACTGCTACTTGTACCCAGGACATAATAGCAGTGCCCTATTTATTTTTACCCTGTTTATGTGGTAAAAAAACACTGAGAAACTCTCAGAAGTGCCTCTGGTGAAGTGTCAGATTAGAAGTATTGGCAAAAAACTGTGAGCTCCGAAGAGAAGCCAGGTGTGGTGCTGATTATTCAAGCTCTACATGGGAACTTGGCTCTGTGTGCCACTGGGGTGCATCTGTCAAGAAAAGGCAGTCAGATAGAAGTTACCTTATGAACGATGATCTGAGATCTATTAGGGCAACTTATGATAGCTCCTTCCCACCTTATGGCACTGACACACATATGGACACCAATGCAGCATTTATGAATACTGCAGTACAAGGACAGCTGGCAGAAACAACTTTATGACTTGCTTCCAACAGCAGCTGACAAATAGTCCCATACAGCCTCCATGTGGTGCCCTAAAACAAGGTGTATGTATACACAACTTTGTATTTTGTATTGTGTACACAATTTACTACACGCAGGTTAATACTTGCAGAGTTAATAACTGTGAAGTACTTTCACCTTTGATTTACAGTTTTCTGATTATGTCAAATATTTAACTATCTTATAAAACAAAAACAGTGCTTTCTACTTTGAATAAAGAATTAGCAAGTGCTGCTGCAGGGGAAAGGAGAAATTTTCGGGTTATTTAATCTTTTCCTATGACGAAAACTTTGAGAAGCGTCTCACAACTAATTAATTTGCCTCGCTGTAAATTGTTAGAACACACCGACGGCTCTCAGAGAACTCAGGGCTCAGGGACACAACCGGCTGGGGTCCTGCAGCCTGAGGAGGGTAAGCGGGGCATCTCCCAGCCCCACAGCCGGCCCGGGCCGCAGACAGGGCCGCGCACGTGCCCAGCTCCCCAGAAGCGCCCAAGCTGTGGGGAGCCTTCCTTCTCCCCGGCCGGCCACAGACGCCGCCTCCCCTCTCCTCGCCTTTCCCCGCTACTCGCACCACCGCCGTCGCCAGCCCGGCCCCGCACACTGACCCTCACCGCAGCCGGCGGCACTCCCCGCCGCGATCCGCCATCTTCACTGAGGGAAAATGACGCCACTGCCGGCGGAAGTAATTGGGCAGCGACAGCCATGACGTCAGAGACCGTCGGAGACGCCATCTTGAGTGAGGGCGCGGCCCCCTCCAGTGGTCCTGCCCTAGGGCCGCCAGGCGCCAACGGGGCGGGAGCTGCTACCGCAGTCGGGATGCCCTTATCCTATCATCACCTCCCGCGTTCTCTGGAGGGAGCGGCATGTGGCTGCCTCGGCCTCCCGCAGTGACCGGAAGACGACTCGAGGGTCAACGCGTTCCTCGGGGCAGGGAGGTTTCATCGTCTTTTCGGTTATAAAGGGTGGAGTTTAAAAAAAAAAAAAAAATCTGCCTTGATGACTTAAGAATCGTCAAGCACTTTATGTGAAGCATGCCGTTAAGCTATCCTCTACAAGACCCAGGTATTACAATGAGAAATCCTTTTTAATATGAAAGATGCCAGCGGGAGTCAAGTGTTTCATTGCTGACTTTGACTGGAGAAAACAGGAATATCCTGTTGACATAAATGAAACATAAGTGCAGCAATGTTGGTGCATGCTGCATTTGGCTTGTCAGCAGAAGTTTAAAGCTGATTAATCTTCATGAGCACACAATACATCAAGTGTGAATTCAAGCTGCCTGCTTCTCCGCATTGCCAGAGGCTGTTCAGTAAACGCCGCCTGTGCTGAGCGCCCTGCGGGTCCCTGGCCACCCGACCACCCGAGAGCCCGATTCCCCGTGGGAGCACACTCCCCCCAGCCACTGTCTCGTCTCCTGTCCCAGGGGTGGCTGGTGACATTCCTTACAGCAGGGCTTGGGACGCTGCACGGACAGGAGCAGGGCCTGCCTGTGCTCTGCAGGTACCCGGAGAGAAAGCGCATGTGCTGCAAGCTGTGCAACCGCTGCACTCCCTCTCCCTCCTCCTTTCTGCTCTGCACAGTCTGTCCTCCTGCTTCTGGCCCATCTTGGATGCCTTGGATTGTTGAATGCTGAGGTGTGAATAGCCAAGTAACCAAATCTGTCTAGAAATTCGTGTGTCAGGTGTCAAAATGACTGGTGCTGCTGGATGGCCACAACTGCATATCTGTTCCTCAGCAGTTACTATACATGTCAATGATTGCTGATTTCCTGGCCCACTTATGTCACTTTCAACTCCCGTCTGGAAGACGCTATCTTTGTCATTTAAAAAAAACTGATAACAATACTGACTATTGCCTGCATGCACAAATGCACAGTCACGAAAATCCCTTCTGGCAACAAAACCTTTAACTGGTCATAATGACGCTTAGCAAAAATTCACCAGGTGGAAACAATTCTTCATCTGGCAACAGCACTATTAAACTTGGGTTAACCCTTTGCATATCATCTTCTGCTCTGTCTGGTCAGTCGCTTGCTCTTCTGGAAAAGATACAGAGGTCATGGCTCAGGGAAGCTGTGAGTTTCCCAGATTCACACTATCAGTTTAAATGTCTTAAATTTAGCAAAGTTGATCATCCCACACAGATGTTTAAGAATGAGTCTTTATAACTGTGAGAAAAAAATTAAGAAATATTTTATTTCCACCCTTTTTTGTTATTAGTTGTGGGTGATAATTAGGTGAATCATTGTATACATAGAGCAACATTGTTGGGATATGGAGTACAGTTGCAATTTGAAGACAATTTGATTCTATGTTGATGACTTGGACAGGAGTTCAGGGATTGAGGGTGAGGTGCAATGTCTCGAGGTGTGGATGTTTTCCAAACTTATGTGTGTTCTAAACAGGACAGTGTCTGTGTATTATGGTGACACTGTCAAAATACATACCAGAAGATCAAAACAGGAGAGCAGTATTTCACTGGTTAAAAGCCAGTTCTGATATTTTTGTACAATAAAGTTGCCTGAAATTGTGAAAAGCGAAGTAGTTGACTTATGACCCATTGTAAAGTTTGCCAGTGCCATATCTAAGTTTAAAACTGGGCTAATGTTGGGCTTAGGGCATCTGATGTACCAAAGGTACTTCTGGAACATGAGCATGCATATCTCAGCAGTTACTTCTTGCTTTCCTGCTGTACTGGGGAGAGCTTCTAGAAGGGTCAGTACACAGTCACAGCTGTGTAATACTAACAAGAGATTTCAGGAGATCATCACACAGGAATTCTGCCAGCTTCATCTTAGCAGTGAGGTTTGACATTAAGCAATCAGCCATAAGTGATCTCCAAAAGTGATATATTGTCATAGGGTGTTCCTTTGCACCATTTCAATATAATGCTTCAGATAAAACATTGCTCCTATTCAGATCATTGTTATACAACTTTGTCTCTCAAACAGAAATGGATGGGAGCATCCAACAGATTTTGTCATAATGCAGACACCTCAAGAATTCAAGCTTTTTTGAAGGGTGGTTGATTACCTTGGCCAGGACTTGTATATGGGCCACTCTGTGGGGCAGGTTCCTTTCATTCTCACTACAGCAATTTCTGTTGCTGTGTGCTATTGTCTCTGGCAGAATTGAGTAAAACCTTGTGAAAGACCCAGGGCAGAGGACTATTTACACCATAAATTGTTCTCCAGGCATGCAGTCCTTATGGACTGACAGAACCATGTTTCATTGACTCCAACTTTGTGAGTAATATAATCATTTTAGGAAATCACAGCTCTTAAATGGTATTTGGATAAATTTCAGCCACTTTTAAATAATTTAAACATTTAAATGTTTACTTGTCTTCTATAGTGAGGAAGACAAAAACATAATGAAAAAGAGCAAGCTATCAAAATGTGAGGAGAATAGAAACCGTCAATATTTAATAAAGATGGTGTATGCATTGTCACCAAACATTGCACAATGTTTCCGAAGAGCCTTAAACCATAAGTCTACCCCAAAATGTGTACATATTGTATGATCAGGTCTGTAGTCTTTTCCAGGTATCTGGCTCTACTGCCTAGACGAATTCTAAGCTGTTTTCAATGAATACCATGATAACAGGGCATTGGTAGGACTGCCTACAGCAGCATCAAGAAAGACATGCTCACATGTAGTCGACGTCTCTGTCCTGATCTTGGATCTGTGCATCTTTTATTCATGCAGAGGGTGGTGGGGATGTGCACTGCTGGCTGAATTTCAATAATAATACATTGACCTCCAGCACATAAATACTTTGCTACCACAGAGAAGGAAACAGTGAGCAAACAAGTTAAGTGCAAGGTCATAGGCTTAATGATGTTTTAAATATTGCAGCTCACAGCATAGGGGACTATAATGCCCCTAAATTGAAGAAGAGGGTTAAAATAAACTTCTAGGATCAGTGAGTATTACCAGAGCATGGTAATAAACATACACTTCTATATTTTCCTGTAATAGCTCTCATACAGGGTATTAATAAAATTTACTAGTGAAGCCCTTTCACCGTCTTCTGATGAAGGTAACTAATACATATGAATTACTTCTCTGCTTTTGTGAAATCATTTCTTTCTTCTTTAATAGCATACAATAATATTGCAGCAACAACTCTTTGGGTCAAAATGTCACATTTAATGTGAGAAGAAAATGAAAGAATATGGAAAAGTAGGTATCAAAGGTAAATGTCTAACATTCACTTCCAAGCACCACAGGAGTCTTAATAGCTCTTTTGCCATTACTTCTTACGCAAGTATTTTCAAGGGAGAGGATACTTTTTCTGCCTCTTCACCAGTATAACCAAAGCAACAGAATTTTGATAGTTAAATATTACAACAGGACAGTTTTCTTATTTGCGGAATCATTACCATTTCAGATCCTCGCAAAGAAACCTTTCCTCTCTATTTCATGAACTGCCGACAGTTGGGCTTAAACTAAATTGTAAGTGGAAGTGGCTAAGCAAAGGAGTATTTTTTCCCCCCTGCTTTTTCCAGGCTTCTCTTTGAATGTCCTCAGGGCTTGCAGTCTGGAAAACTGTACTCTGCACTGCTGCATACTAAGCAGAGCAAAAGGTATACTTTATTAACACCAAAACAATTCTCTTCTGTCATTTTCCTTAGTTTGCTCCTCAAATAAGAAAAATTTGTTGTCCCTAGAAGTAACTCATATTTTAATTCTGGAGTTTTGATAATAACTATAACACTACAAAAAATAGTATGGCTGAGATAAAAATGAGCTTTATACACATCCCAGCTCAAAATTAAGATTGACAGAACACAGTGTAGTATGGGACTACACTATTATTTTTAGAATATACAACAGAGAAACAAGGAAGGAACATTCCTAATTGTCTTCAATCTGTTGAGAATGAGCTTTTTACAGTATGAAATTCCACATGAACAGAAAAAGGTTAGGTCAACAAAGGCAAGAAAATTAAATAAGTTCTACATTTTAGTTGTGTAACTGAATCATGTGTCTACTGAAATTGTAATATTAGAGATGAGTCTCTCTGAGTTTATATCATAGTAAATCAGGACTCCAAAGCTTTCTGACTCAGATATCCTTAAGTAAGATTTTTTTTATGCAGAGTTGCCTTTTTTTTTTGTGTAATACTTGATCATAATATGCAAATGTTTACTGTAAATTAAATTAGTCCAAGGAGAATGCTGTATTCTGCTTATAAATTTCCCCAGCGAATTGCATCTCTATTCAAATTACGCAGAATTTTTGTCACATTTCATTTCTTCCACAGGAGAGAAATGCCAGCTCTTTTCTTTTGGCAAAGAGACAAATTGCTCTCTCTGTGTTATCCGTTGTATGAACTCAGGCAAATGCTGACAAACTGCAGGAATAGCAGCTGTACAGTGCTGATCCAGTTGTCTGAAGTGAATAGAACGGCTAGAAGTCAGAAAACCTTGTGGACTGCACTGATTTTCTTGGCACCTGAAACCAGGAGAAAACAATTGTTTCCGTGGCAATGCACAGTTTCAAAAAGGTTGAGGTTATGACAAGGGTGGTTAAGTGGTAGCTTTTGAGATACATGTGGATTCTGAACAACTCCAGTACAGCGTGTATGCCATATCTGCAGCATGTAATTGTTTGGCTGACTGTGCTTGAGCAAAGGCTGCTGGGCAACTCATATCTCAGCTGAGGGAGAAAGTGAGCTGGCATTGCTGGGCCTCTTGGGACTCCCTTCTACAGGGAGCTACAGTCTCTTGCAGAGCCATTGTCACCTGTAAATGGCTACCTAAGGTCCCAGAGGATGGCCCTGCTACCTGAGACAGAAACAATTGTCCAGGACAGTATCGTGCTGGGCATGGAAAAATGTTTATGTCCCTTTTGTCTGTTTTTACCTTAAAACTGCTGCCACACGCAAATGATGTGTTTGACATTACTGCACCATCCCTGGCAGGGTAATTGGGCAGTGACTTTCCCTTCTCTTAGCTCCTTTTCTTCTCCCATTCTTAATTCTATCCTCTTAACCAGTGCTGGAAGAGCAAGTATGCTTCTGGTTCTGAGTTATGCTCAACTACCTGAAGATGATAGCATTCAGATAGTAACTAAATAGGGATTTATTCTCCTGCCTTCCCTTGAATGGGATTTTATCACTTCCATGGGTTATTTTCTCAGACCTGCGAGTACAAGGATGCTCCTCTTTTACAATTACCATTGGTGTCAGTGGAAGGTGATATCTTGAAGAGCAAGTGCAGGTGCCATGCAGCCAAATGGACAGGGACTTCGCCATTTAAACAAGATGAAATGTTCCATGGACATGTCATGAGCATTACTCACTGATCTGGAAGAGACTGAGCAAGGTTTCTCACATGTACTCCAAATTTTTTCACAGGACTTAATTATGTAAATTTACATGCAGTTACCTGCCCAAACTTTGCCACAGTATCTTGCTCAGGAACAAACAAGTGCAGTTAATTTGACCCAACAATCAACTGCCATGTAAACAAGTAACATTAGGTACTTTTTTTTCATTGAATTGTTGTAGTCAGTATCTGTCACCCTGACTTACTTACACTGAGAAGAACTAGTTGAGGCTAGAAAAACATTGAGGCTAGTGAGGTAGTTACTGATTTCTATGGGTTTACACTCAGGGTAACACAGTCCTCAGTGTGCAGAATCACAGAGAAGGTGAACTTTCTGATCCAATCTTCTGCAGAGGAGGACTTGCTAGTTCTTGAAGGAAACTGAAATGTCAGTGCTCATGTTGCAAGCTCGGGCCCAACTTTAGCGTAAACATATGATACATTCAAAGCCTGCAGCTGCCTTTTTTTGCTCATCCAAAAGCAGCAATGGGTGGCTCAGGGAGGCACACCATGCAGGCTTGGCTTATATTTTAAATAGCAGTAAAGAGCTTCAAAGTTCTTCAAAGAACTAGAAAAAAGAGTTATGAACTATACTTGCTTTTTGTGAAATAAATGAGGTTACATCTGCAAAAGTATGGATTGTATTTTACTACTGACTCATTGCATCAGCTGACTAATTGCAACTAAACAATTTTACAAGTAATGCAGCAATTACATAAGCAAAACCTTCATATGGTGCAGAATGAATTCAGCACCATATGAAGGCAAGGAATCAAATTCCATGGTAACATGTCAGGAACTCCAATTTACAGGAGATGAAATATAAGGGAAGCTGATTTGAGGCAATTTGTGCTCAGAGTTGACAAAAAATTCTCTGTAGAAATGGATTGCTTAATTTTATTTCTTCCTTCACCCAGATTCCAGTAATTTCTTTTTCTAACTCACAGGCATCAATTTCTCAGAGAAGCTTTGTTCAGATACATCAACTCAGGTGAAAAATACATCTAAAAATGGGAACTGTGCTATAATTTTAATTATGTAGCAATTGCAAACTGATCACATTATATATTGTTAGGTTTATAAGTATTACCTGTCTGTGGAATATTAATATCAAGGTCCATTCTTGTAATAACAAGAAAAAACATGGTATAAACTTAAATATCTGTTCTGTTCCCAGGACTCTATAAAAATTTCACATATAGAAATTTTTTCTGAATAAAGTAACTAATTAAAACTTTTTTTGTGTGTGTGTATTATCAGATTCCATTGAGGAGCACCCTTTATCACAATGTTTGGCAAAGTAATTTACAGGTTATTAAAAAGATTGTTATTTAATAATTTGGCCAAGGAAAATCTTCAGGTCCTCTGAGAATCATTTTAGCACAGGTGGAAAAGTTTCCTTTTTTTCCAGCAAGAAAGAATATATAGTGCTGAGGGTTACATTGTCTCCTCATGCAATATTCGCTTCTCAAGAAGGTCCTCAGAATATATGAAGACATAAGATGGTGTACTCTGTGATTACTTGAGACCATAAAACCTTGTCTTGTTTGTCGTTGCTCCTGCCACATTCCTGTGCAATGCTACCAGCCTCCTTTCAGAAGCTAAAACTACAGAGACAAAGCTCACTTCCTGATTGATTAATGGGATAATGAAAATTATTAGTAGCCCTTAGAAACACCATTGATTTTTTTAAAAAATCTCAAATATTGACACCTTATCAATGTATTTGAAACAAGCATTTGTCTGTTTGTTGTATTAAATGTAGGTAGGCTTGTACACACTGATACTTATGAGTATTGTCTGCAGACTCTGAGGAGCTCACAAGTGTATTTCAAACTCACTTCAACAAGGGCACCAGGCAGTGTTATAAGGATTTTGTAAAAATCCATCCTTTAGAATCTTGTAAGTAATCTCTTGGATATCCTACAGGCTCGCCTTCATAAAGCTTTCAACGCTGAGTTGAGTGGGCTGCATGTGTGTGAAGCTGCTCTGATTGAAACGCCAATATTCTTTCTTTCTCTGGGTTCTGAAATTTACTACTGCAATAAAACAGAAGTATTCCCTTGCATGCTAAACTGAAGTGGCTATGAAGAACAACTACTGAAGCCCCTAATTTATTTCATGGTTTCAGTCTAATTGACATCAGCATTCAATCCTTTCTACTGGCCTATTCATTGTCTCCCCCTCAGTCTGGATTCAGTGTACAACAAATTCATTATTGAACTGCAGTGCCTTCCCTCTCTGAAAGGAAGGGCAAAGAAGAAATCACCGTGTAATTATAAGAAAAGCATATTTTCTTTTTTTGTAGCTCTTAGGCATTTCCCATAATACCTACAGCAAGCAACCAACACCACCTCCCACATCTCTCAGTCCAAGATTCTACGTTAAGAGGATACTTATCTATCTCTCTGACTCCAAAGAACCAGTTCCAGACACATCCTCATACCAATATTTCTTAATAATTCCTGGAATGATTGATGATATATTGCAGACTATGTATTTTTGGCATATTATTTAATCAGTAGCAATAAAAATGCTCTTTTTATAAAGAACATGAATAATTTATTTTAGTACTAAAGGATGAGAATTCCTGTAATGCATCATTTGCAAGAATGATGCAATGAGTTCTAACCAGAGACTGGGAAACAATGAAAGTGATGAAGGGCCACTGGTACCCATTGGTCCTTCCGTAAGAATGGGGACCAAAGAGTGTTTGAAATTAGTACAGAAGAACTGGTGTGGCATAAAATAGAGAAAGAGGGCAGACTGGGAAAAATCTTGCTTCACTTGGGGAAATAAAAGCAAACATTAAGTGTGGAGAATACAATGAATTATATGGGAAGGCACAGAACATGGACAGATAAATGCAATTTTATGGGGAAAAATGTTAGGAGAAGGATGTGGTAACATTTTCCTGTGGTACAGGTGGTATTTTTTAATACTGAGTGCTCTTTTTAGCATAGTGCAGACTGTGTGGGAAAATGGACCCCCAAAACCTGGCATTTTTCTATCTTTCTCCTGTTCACAGGACACATCCTCTTCTTTAGCTATCCTTGATATTTATAAGATAGTAATTGTGGGGACCACGTAGCCTTAGAGCTCAGCTGAGGTAGAGATGGTATTGTCAAATAGGACAATTATGAACTCTAGCATAAAGACTAAGAAATCAGTAATTTATTCCACACTTACAGCTTACCAGATTTCTAAAATGCATCAAACATGTGGTAAAAGATAGGGGGTTTTCACAGCAGATGCCATATATATGATGTGGCTTTGACAGATGCTCTAGAGCATGGGAACTTCTGGTGAGAGCAGAACCATTTGTAAGATGAAACATTCATTGGGATTTCTGTAGCTGAGAACTTAGAAAAGGCCTGATCCCCCACATTACTGCTAGCTGAGAGGAAAGACAATAACCACTATGGGCTTGGATCCCATATTGCCATATGGCTAGAACTTAGTAGATTCAAAGTAGTTGAACTCAATCAAAAAAATGAGGGAGATCGTAGACATTCTGTTTCTACTCCACTCAGTAGACATTTCCCAAGTATTGGGTTGGGGTGGGGGGGAGACAAGTACAGGTGCTGTGTGAAAATATCTACAGAATCTAAAGCCATGCAAAATAACACCCTGCTACTAAATTATGTAATAGTGTGTGTCACTCATTCATTAAATATCAATAAATAATTTAAAATTTTCTGTAATTTGGCATGCTCCTGACATTAAATCTATTCCCCTGGGTGTTTTTTTGTTTGGTTTTTTTTCTATATAGACCTGTAAAGGAGAGTTTTATGGGCTTTCTTTGGTTTAAACTCCTGATTTAAAAATTTTTCTTTGTGCTGATTAAGAGAAAATGGAAGATCAGTGGATGGTCCATAATTTGACATGAATATCAGGAATGGAAACCAGAAAGATTATTTAAAATGAGAATAAACCCTTTATTTGATAGATTAGCTGCCTGTTGCTAAACCTTATTTCTGAGAGAAGAGTACATATTAGGTTCTCCCTTCACCTAGCTGTTAGCAGACTTGCAAAAAGTCCAGTCTTCCCTTTGTTACTTCTCCTGCCCTGTTTTCAAGCTGCAAGGTGTAGTACTGAGACATGGGCCTTGGATGCAACTTTGCTGACATTGATTGAACAATTGACTCAGTATGCAGGATTTCAACCCATGTGCCCCAGCCAAATGCTGGACTTGGGGTAGTTCTCAATGTTAAGGTTGGGGTTGTTCAGTAGCATTTTATGTCTGCAACAAAAAGAACCTTCTGTCCAATTTTTTTGGGCAGCTGATGTTGGGCAATTGGCCAATTTGCTGGATCAGAAGTAGTGGCCTTACCTTAAATAAGTTACTGTCTTCTTGCTCTATGCATTTTCCCACTCTGTAACAGAAAGCAAGGAACTTTTCAGATTCTGAAACTAAAATAATGAGAATATGTTTAGGCTTATGAAACATATTTCCCAGTATAGTGTCATTAATAAAAATTACAACAAATGTACTTTAGAGTAAATAAATGAATGAAATTTAAGACTGATACTGCAAAATAAATTTGGACCTTTTTTTTTTTTTAATGGGAAATTCATTAGACTGTGAAAATTAATCACACTCTGCATAGTACCCCACTAGTACACATGGCTCACTGCAAAATAATTCTGTTGTTTTGAGACTTTACATGTGTACTGGATTGATTCAATGTTTAATGAGATTTTTAGTTTGCATCTCATTTATGTTTATACCTACCAGATGGTCTTCATTTGTCATAGTATTTCTTAGGAATTTCTTTTTCTGTCTCAGATTTGAGTGTCTGTATTATGAAGATGTGAAAGAAGAAACTGAGCAATATTAAACATCACAGACAATTGATTGCTAAGTATAAAGAAAGCACATTATGATTGTAAATAATAGTGTAAGAGAAAAACGTGAACTGATCTGTATTTTGGCTCTAGGGATAGGATTCTCAAGCAAAATGTGTATCTTAGTGTGTTCCTAGTGTTGAATTTGGGGATTTAAAGTAAGGAAAGAAGCTAAAGTAGATCCTTGTCTAAGATTTTTTTTTTTTAATAGCAAGATTTCTTTTCTTCACAAGTCTTTAAAATGTCATTACCTGAGACATTTACACAGAGAAGCCCTAAGTGCCTAACTTTGGATTGTAAGCATAATACAGGAGCTGTATAAGAAGCAATATCTGCCTAATTCTTTCAGTCTCTCTACCTCAGAAGAGTAGGCTGATTTGTATTAGATCCACTGAGCCAAGGCCCAGCCCTCACTGCTGAGGTGAGAACTGGTTGAAGCAAGGTGGCTTCTTGTATGAGAAACAAATTGCATCCCTTCATTTACAGGAGGGTACACTGACATTATAGTATTGTTTCCCTTGGCAATATTGATCTTTCCACCCTACCCCCTCCCCCTTCCTTTCCCAATCACTTCCTGGAATAGGAAAGACACACAAAAATTTTGGAATCCATGATAAACCTTTTATAATTTCAGATAATGGAGTAGTCTTTTTCAATCTTTAGTGGCTGAAGCTTTATGAACAGAAGCTGGGTCATATGTCCTCAAAAAATATTTTTCCCACAGAGGATACTGGAAGAGCTTTTGAGAAATTTCCAGCAAAAGGACACCTTGCTAGAAATGATAATCCTTCCATGTACAGATGTAGAAACTGACACGAAAAACTCCTGGGTCTGTTAATCTTGCAAAATTCAGCTGATAATCAGAGATATGGTCTTCATGCAATGTCAACCCAAAATATAATTAACACAGCTACATAAATATATATAGTGAGAATAAAAGAAAATAATAGCCCTAGTAAACCTGGAAGACAAAAATGCTAGCTCAAAAAGTCCTTTGTTTCTGTCTTAAATCTAACTGAATTATTTTTTCCAACTGTGAATCAGTAAATCTCAAGAAAAGATGCTGAAGGAAAGCTAAAGTAAATTGAACTTGAGACCATAGATCATTGTCTCAAAATACAAAATGCAAACAGGAATTAGTTATATCTATATATATAGCAATTTTTTATAGTTTAAAAGTGAATAAAAGGAGGCTGTGGTACCAATTTCTTCGTGTAGACTAGAAGAGGAAAATTGTTTTCTGGTAAACCAAATTAAATCCAGAGTAACCGGAGAAGATGGTAGATGAAGTTGGTGGTAAAAGATATCCAATCAT